CTAATATGGCCCACTTTCTCTCACCCAGTATGTTGGATGGAACCCAGCATCTTCATGCTCCAGCTGGGCCTGGGCCCCTGAAGGAAGCCAAGCATGATTCTCTGTGACATGGCTCCCTTTCTGTCTGTCTGTCCAGGATGGGGAACCCCCTCGGCAGCGAGTGACGGGGACCCTGGTCCTTGCCGTGTTCTCCGCTGTACTTGGTTCCCTTCAGTTTGGCTACAACATTGGGGTCATCAACGCCCCACAGAAGGTGGGGGACCTGCAGCTGTCTGGGGGAGGGTACTCAGGGGTGGTGGGAAGAGAAAGGCCTCTCGACTCACCCCCATGTTCTTCCCCCAGGTGATTGAACAGAGCTACAACGCAACATGGCTGGGGAGGCAGGGGCCTGGGGGACCCACTTCCATCCCACAAGGCACTCTGACCACACTTTGGGCTCTCTCCGTGGCCATCTTCTCTGTGGGCGGCATGATTTCTTCCTTCCTCGTTGGCATCATTTCTCAATGGTTGGGAAGGTACGGAGCTGGAGAGCAGGGAGGGGGAGGGGGGAGGGGGGGCCATAGCACAGGTGCCCTGACCGGTCCTCCGCTTGGTGTGCCTGCCAGGAAAAGAGCCATGCTAGCCAACAATGTCTTGGCGGTGCTGGGGGGCACCCTCATGGGCCTCGCCAATGTCGCGGCCTCCTATGAGCTGCTCATTCTCGGACGGTTCCTCATCGGCGCTTACTCAGGTACCCGTGGGTGCTATGGATCTAGTCTGTGCCCTGCTGTCCTCAGTCATGTATGGGCTGCTATGAGGGAGTCTGCCACCTTTGGCCCTTTTTTCTTCCTCCCGCCCAGGGCTGACATCAGGGTTGGTGCCTATGTATGTGGGCGAAATCGCCCCCACTCATCTTCGGGGTGCTCTGGGAACGCTCAACCAATTGGCCATCGTCATTGGCATTCTGATTGCCCAGGTACATAGGAAGCTGGGAGTAGGCGTTGGATTGGGCATCCATAGTTGCGCAGGAAGCCAACCAAAGACCCCTTGACCACCATGCCTGCCTTCTCCCTCAGGTGCTGGGCTTGGAGTCCATGCTGGGCACAGCTACCCTGTGGCCACTGCTGCTGGCTCTCACAGTGCTCCCTGCCCTCCTGCAGCTGGTCCTCCTGCCCTTCTGTCCTGAGAGCCCCAGATACCTTTACATCATCCGGAACCTGGAGGGGCCCGCCCGAAAGAGTGAGCTCTCACCTTGCGTATAGCCCAGGCTCACACCTCCACCCCCCCCCCCATCTTGCTAAGTCCCCGGCCTCCTCTCGGGCTCCGTAAGGCCTGACATTCCCCACCCCCAGGTCTGAAGCGCCTGACAGGCTGGGCCGACGTGTCGGATGCGCTGGCTGAGCTGAAGGATGAGAAGCGGAAGTTAGAGCGGGAGCGTCCCATGTCCCTGCCCCAGCTCCTGGGCAGCCGCACCCACCGGCAGCCTCTGATCATTGCCGTTGTTCTGCAGCTGAGTCAGCAACTCTCGGGCATCAACGCCGTACGTGTGGAGACCCAGGCCCAGACCGCCGGGGGGGGCGGGGGGGGGGGGGAGCAGGCCACCTCCTCCATCAGCGGTCAGGTTCCATCCTGGGTGGGATGAAGGACCAGACATCCCTGCCGTTGCCTGCCATTCACTGCCTTGCCTGCTCCCTCCCTTCTAGGTTTTCTACTATTCCACCAGCATCTTCGAGTCAGCGGGGGTAGGCCAGCCGGCCTACGCCACCATAGGAGCTGGTGTGGTCAACACCGTCTTCACGTTGGTCTCGGTAACTGCTTGCCTGTGGGATGGCCGCATCCCTGGTTTTTTAGCCCTGGGTGCCTAGAGGACCTATTCTTGTTTGTCCCCAACTGACCAGCTGCCCCGCCCCCTCCACAGGTGCTCTTAGTGGAACGGGCCGGGCGACGGACCCTCCATCTCCTGGGCCTGGCAGGCATGTGTGGCTGTGCCATCTTGATGACTGTGGCTCTGCTTCTGCTGGTGAGGCCTGGGGGCGGTGAGGGCACAGCCGTCTAACCCATGGGCAAGGCCTGGGGGCGGTGAGGGCACAGCCGTCTAACCCATGGGCATAACCTCGGGAGGCTGTGTGGCTGACGGTGGGCCAGGACCATGGATGCTCGGTTCTAGAGTCTGTCTGTTTCTGAGGCACCCTGGCCACAGCGGGGCCTAGCTATATAGCACAAGTTTAGTGGTCCCTGTGAGACCTCAGGAGCAATAGTTCCCAAAGACACATCTTCAGAGCCCCGGGGGAAATCAACCATTATAGGAACGAGAGACCAAAAAATGTCTCCACCCTGAAACTACCAGAGGAAGCCAACAAAATGGCAGCCCTCGTAAATGCTCCAGGGCAGCTCCACACGAGGGAGACTGGGGTGGAAGGCTCACAGGTAAGTTCAAGGCCAGTCTGGGTAACATAGTGAGTCCCTGTCTAAAGGGGGGTGCACAGGGGATGCCCCAGGGCCTGTTCTAGCCTAAAATGGCAGCTTCCACCCAACAAGCCCTGGAAAGGAGATCTCAGTCCTCTGGGCCGAGGGCAAAAGGAGATCTAGAGAGGCCAGAACCAAATTTTCTATTCTCTCCTGGTCTCTAGGAACGGGTTCCAGCCATGAGCTATGTCTCCATCGTGGCCATATTTGGCTTTGTGGCCTTCTTTGAGATTGGCCCTGGCCCCATCCCCTGGTTCATTGTGGCTGAGCTCTTCAGCCAGGGGCCCCGCCCAGCAGCCATGGCTGTCGCTGGTTTCTCCAACTGGACGTGTAACTTCATCGTTGGCATGGGTTTCCAGTATGTTGCGGTAGGTTCCCTGCCCTCTGCCCAGCCCCCCATGGTCAGTAGCCGGAGGGGAGGCCGCTCAGCCCTGGTTCCCTTGCTGACTGGTCAGGGACTCCCCATGCTACAGATAGTTTCTGGGTGAGCAACCACCCTGGTGGAGCTACACCAGAACCAACGTGGGTGGAAATAGATGGGCCGGCAGCAGAGTTACCTTTTAAACAATAAACAGTGGCATAACTTAGACCAGAAATAAAATGATCAACTTTCTATTAATGCTAGCAGTGGTTTAGGAATCTACCCCAACTGTACACTCTTAGAATAGCAAAGGATAAAAGCTAAAGGGGGTTTTCAAGGTAAATTTTCACTTCTGGTCATTTCTGTTGCCTCTTGAAGGAGCCATCTGCTTCTTGACGCGGCCCCAGCTCCCTGTTATGTTAGTCTGTCTGTCCGTCCGTCCGTGTGTGTCCCGTCCGTCCGTCCGTCGTCGTCCCCCCCCCCCCCCCCCCCCCCCCCCCCCCCCCCCCCCGGCTTCCCACCCTCTGTCAACACCTCTTTCTCCAACTGTCCCAGGATGCTATGGGGCCCTATGTCTTCCTTCTGTTTGCCGTCCTCCTGCTCGGCTTCTTCATCTTCACCTTCCTCAAAGTGCCTGAAACCAGAGGCCGGACGTTTGACCAGATCTCCGCCGCCTTCCGCCGGACACCTTCCCTCTTAGAGCAGGAGGTGAAACCCAGCACAGAACTTGAATACTTAGGGCCAGATGAGAATGACTGAGAGGCAAGGCAGGGTGGGAGCGCCACCCTCTGCAGCCCCACAGACCCCTCCTCTCCTCAACAGCACTTTAGCCCTCTTTTCCCGTTACCTCCAGGATGGAGAAAACTGCAGCCTGGAGAACTGGGAAGCCGAGGGAAGGGTGGTTCAAGTACCCCCTCATTCCCCTCCGGTGACTCTTTTGGATTATTTATGTGTTGTGGCTAGGCTATGGCCACCCGGTGGGCTCTTCTCCTCTCCTGCCTTCCTCCTGCCCCTACCCAGACTCAGCCACAGAAAACTTCTGTTCCCTTTAGAGAAGTGGACCTGCGGAGGTGAGGGCCGCGCTGAGTTCAGTGGGATGAGCAGGAGCAGGGGTGGCCACGGGAGGAGTGATTTCCTACCAACTGAGACTCCGCCCACACTTGGCAGTTCCCCTGAATTCTTGCCACATAGACTCTGGGTGAAGGGGGTTCTGTCTTGACCCCTCCAGGGCAAAGGACACACCCTCCCAAAATCTAGCCTCTCCTTGGTCCCTGTAGGCTCCACCTTCCAGGGCAAAGGAACACAACAGTATATACCTGAACATGGCAAGGCGCAGTAGTAGCAAGCGTCAGTCTCTAGACTCAGGGGGTTGGCCGCTGTGTCCCCGGGCTGCCTAGTGTGGCTACCAGCTCTTTCTTGTCCCCCTCCGGGAAGGGTGCTAGACCCAAAAGCTTTTGACCAACTAAAGGCAAGAGGGGATTTGAAAGGCTGTCTATAAACACTGGCTGGGAGGGAGCCTTTGGATATTTTTGTATGTTTTGAATGGGTAGGGAGCAGAAACCCAAGGGCTACTGTATTAAATGTGTATATAGATTCATCCATAAAGTCACTGTATGAAGATGAGTGTCCTGTCATGGAGGAACTGGAGGGTGGGCTGAGACAGACAAGATGCCCTCATCCAGCCCTCTTCCTCTTCGCTCTGCCTTGGCTCAAGGGCTCAGAAGCCTCTCGAGTCTAGATTCTATCAGTTTTTCAGGGTCTCACGCTACAGCCCAGGCTGGCCTTGAACTTGTAGTAAGCCTCTTGCCTCAGCCTCCTAGAGTGCTGGTTTATAGGCCTGAATCCCAGTGCCCCACTGTTTTCTTGAGAGAGTCTATGTGGCCCAGGATGCCCTGGAATTAGGAATCCTCCTGACTCCGCTTCCTGAGTGCTGGGTACACCTGGCTCCCTTTTTTATCTATTGCTCTAATTAACAGTAAATGTCTTGTCAACGATGTTCACAAGTGCCCAGGCACGGAAGAGACCTCACCCTCAGTTAATGGACCCGTGATTCTCGGGGATGAGGGTTCTTGTCAGAACTCAACAGCTAGGTACTGGAACAGGGAGTACATGCAGGCTAGTCTTCTCCAAGGTGGTTCCCAAGCGGGTAACCAATGGTTCTTCCCTCTCAGACAGAAGAGGCAGAGACCAGGACAACAAGAAAGCCTGCTTTTGTTTTTATTGGAGGCTCAGGTGGCACATGACAGTTCATAAAATGGCTTCAGAGGTGTTGGGAGGAGGTAAAGGGAACAAAAAATAAATGGGCGGGGCAAACCAATCAGGAGGGGGTGAAGAGCGGGCTGGTTCCTTCTCAGCCTGACTTAGGGGAGGGAGCGGATGCCTCTGAACAGTGAGGACGGGTCCCTTCCTTCAACCCTTGGGAGGGCGAGGGAAAAAAGAGAAAAAAGCCAAAGGCTGTTGCTTTGGCCCTCCTGAGTCTCAAGGGAAAAGCCGATGTTTTGATGTCATGAATTATGGGAAAGGGGGGAGGGGGTGCTGGGTAGTCAGTTGGAAACTGGCAGATACCTAAGAGAAAGAAGAGAGATCATAAAGGATAACTTAGCGGAATCCGGTCCCTGGCCTTTTTCAGTCACCTGTCCTGAGCAGCAGCACTCACCAGATGGTAGCTCTGGGTGTCCTCTGAGTTGGAATCACTCCAGTATGGTGGTGGGGGGGTCCCCACTGTTGATAGGTGCTGAGGTCTGAAGAGACCAGTGGTTAATTAAGACCTATTTACAACCTACCTCAACTTTTTCTTAACTTTCCTCTTCTCACCCCTTCTAAGTTCACGCCCCAACAGCTGGGTGAGGGGTGGGGTATTCATTCAAGGCAATCTGGGCTCCATCGCCTGTTCTGGGGTTTCCAGGTGAATACAATGTCTGCCAGGGACGGGTGGGGCAGGGACGGGCAGGGATGGGTAGGGACGGGCAGAGCGGAGGTGCAGAAGACAGAACCAGAAGCACAGGAAAAGGCCACAAAGAGGCAAGGGTCTTGGCCTTTCCCACACCGAGGTCCGGGCACCCGAGACCTCACCTCTGCGGCTATGGGCTGCCGGGGGCCAGGGGGCTGCTGCCGTCGGCGCTGGAAGTAGGGGCGGTTTCGTGGACGCTGGGGCTCAGGCCGGGAGCCATCAGTGGGGCCTTGGCTGGGCTTGGTCTCGCCATCCCCACCTTCTGTGGTAGGCTGTTGGGGTGGCCTGGGGCGGAAAGGCCTAGAAAAGAAACCACCTCTGACTGGACAGGGCCCCCAGTGTAGAGTCCCTGTTTTCTTGTCCCCATCTGCTCCAGGCTCTTTGAACTCCTCCTTTTACAAGGGCCCAACACTGGACCCTGAAGGGGAAGCCAGGCCAAGTCTTACCTTCGGTACCTGGGCCGGAACCTGGGTGGGGGCACCCGTTCATCTCCTTGCTGTTGGTCCCCCTCCAGTGGGGCTGTCTCCTTGGGTTCTACCCCGTCGGAGCCCTGGAAATACACAAGGCCTAGGTAAGCTACTGAGCTCCGCCCTCTCAGCTGGTCCCCTCCTTCCCAGAATGTGGAGGGCTGCCTCCCTGACTGCAACTCCAGCTGGCTCACCTCTATGGGCTGCTGCTGATTGGGGGGCCGAGGGCCCCGCACAAACCGCCTCCGATAGAAGAAGGGTGGTGGGCGCCGTCGCCTAGGCCGCTGCCCCGAGTCCTCTGCCCGCTCCCCTTCGCTGCCAGGCTCAGTCCCACCCGAGGGAGCCTCTGCCACCATGGGTGGTGGGGCAGCTGGACGAGGCCGGGGGATGAATCTGCGGAACCTACGTCGATTGGGAGCATAGCGGCTGCCCTTCACTGGCACCCCCCCAGGCCCAGTTACATTAGCAGCTTCTGCACCCTGGGGAGGCAGAGAGGGGGCAGTCAGAACCGGCCCTGACAACCAGCACCAACACTAGCAAACCTGCCAGATCACTGGTGGCCCCTTCTTCCGGCCCAGTCCTCTATCCTGCGGCTCCTCAAAATCACTCCTTTCTCCCTCCCCCAAGGGGCAGCAGAAGGAGTTTGTACCCATCTGAGAAGAAACAACTTGTCCTTAGAAATAACTGCCACACTCCCCCCAGAGTGTAAAGACAGGACAGGGTGAGACAGAGAGGGCCACTGTCCCCTCCTTCACTCCAGAGCACTGACTGAGGAGGGTCCTGTTAGGGCTGGGGTCCCGTGGAGAAAACAGACATGAAGTGCTTGGTGAACTAAAGAGAAGAAACCCAGAGGTTACTGGCCGGTGACAGGGATGGATTCTTTAGGACATGTCCTAGAACAGCCCTAGCATTCGACAGCATCCAGGTGAGAGAACACACAGGCCCCATCCCCACAACCAGAGGCAGAGCCGGTCCCGGGAGTCAAAGCCTAGGCCACCAACCAGGCCACCCTCCCCCAGTGCGGCCAGCTCCAGCCCACAGCAGCTCCCAAACCTTCTCTCCTTCCACGACATCAAACTCCACAGTCTCCCCATCTCCAACACTTCGCAGAAACTTCCTGGGGTTGTTTCTTTTAATAGCTGTCTGGTTGGGGGAAAAGCCAGGAGAAAGGTGAGGGCAGAGACCAGGACGTCTCACCAGCTTCAGCCTCCACCCAACTCCACTCTTATTGGAGTCCAGGGTCGAAGGGCAGAGCAAGAAAGCAAGTGTTCAAAGTAGTGGGGACGGCCTGGAGCATAGCTCACAGCACCACAAGAAATAAATGTATTAGTAGGGGAAAGTCATGAACTAGAGGTCTGGGGGATCCACTGTAAAGTTACTACCGGCCCCAAGATGTCCTCCCCCTTTACCCAAAAACTGGACTTCAAAAACTGGAGGCAGTAGAAACTCCAAAGCAAACCAAAGGCTGAAATGTCTTAAGTTGTCAAGTGGGTGAAACAGACTGTGCTTCTTACCTCGATCCCACTGAGTACTCTCCACCAGAGCAGTGGTTCTCAAACTAGCCAGGATCAGAATCACCTGGGAGCATGTTAAAACAGAGTGCCCGGCCCCAGCCCCAAGGCTGATTAACTCAGTGGCTTGGGCAGGGCCTGAGATCAGGTGCTGCTGCTGATGCAGGGAACACTCTGAGACCCAGTGCACCCAAGTGTCTCTGGCCTTGCCCTCGGAAAATTGCCCGATTCCTTCCTGTGGTGTTAACAGGTCCCAGGAGGTGGTGAGCGAGTGTGCCCCATGCCCCGAGGGCACCACACACAACTCTGACAGGTGTTCGGCAACTCAAGGAAAGTGGGGCTAACGGTGGTTCACACAGACACCTGAGGGTGAACCAACAGACCGGAGGCCGGCTCTTCCTCACAGGCAGGCCGTTGTCAAGTTAGGAGCCAGAGAAAGAGATTGTGTGCAGCTAGAGGTTACAGCAAAGGCTTCCAAAGAGAGGGCCGGTGCCTCCGCCCCCCAGGAAGCCAGCCTGGCTCTTACCTGGTGAACAAAGACATCCTCCTTGGTGTCATTCCTGCAGAACAGGATGGGTGGTTAGGAGGTGGTGGGTAAGGCGCTCAGCTCCACTGAGGCCTCCCTAGGTGCCCATTCCCAAGACGGGCCCATCTTCTCCACTGTTTCAGTTCCAGGGGCATGATGGGGCCCCGGGGCAAGAAGAGCAAGCCAGCAGGGCCCCTGAAGCTGGTGCCAAGAGAAGCATGCTGCAGATGCCCAGCAAACACTTAGCCATAAGGAAGTTAGGAGGAGGCCACAAAGGCACCTTGAAGGGGCCAGGACAGCCTCACCTTCTACCCCAGGGGCACCTCAGAACCTGCTGGTGCCGGGCCTAACTGTCCCTGGCCAATATCCCCTCCTCCCCTCAACCCCTGTCGAGGTTGGAAAATTCCACAGGCTCCTTCCTTCTATGCTCAAAGGAGGAGAAAGCAGGGCCAGGGGCATACAAGTGTGAGAACAAGGCATAAGGTGCATTCTCCAGACAGCCACGAAGCTTCTCTTCACCCTCAGCCGGAGGTAAACCACAGGCTCCCTCTACACAAACTGAACAGGGTGAAAAGACACTCCCGTTCCTATGACTTTGGTTTAATCCCAGGACAGGGGACAGGAGGCGCTCTTTGCACGAAGCCGCCTTCCCCAGAACAAATGTTCTCGTCTTAAAGCACTTGGGTCTGCACAAAGGTCAGCCTGCAAAGAGGGATCTGAGGCTCCCAGGAGGGCTTGGCTGGGCAGGGTGCCTGGGCCGGGGAAGGCCACGGTAGGGGAGCCCTGGCTCTCCTCAGAATCGGCCCGGCCTCTCCCACAGCTCAGAGGGGTGGGGCCGCCAAGTGAAGAAAAGCAGCCCTCTAGCTGGGCAGCTTCAGTCCCATCAGGTGTGTGTGGGGATGGGGTGGGGGGTGGGTCAAATGAGCCACAGCTCTGTAGAGAATTTGTGTAGGTGCCTTGAGTGTTGCCCTTAACCAGGAAACCAATGAGGGCTCCAACCAGGAGCCCCAAACATTCTACCCCAAAGGCACACAGCAAGCTAAAAATAATGAAGCAGCTCCAGAAGGTGAGACAGAGGAGCTGGGAAGGGCAGGGTCAGGTCTGCCAAGTTCCTGGATCATTAATCCTCTGCTGCCCTTGAAGATGTGGATGAGGCTTCATCTTGCCAGTAAGCGCACATTTGTGCTGTGGTTAAAGACTCTCAACCAGCCTCAGCTGGACATCACCACCATGTGATGTGGCAGGGGTAGAGATGAAATGAGGTGTCCAATCCCACAGGCCAGTTCGGAAAAGACACCCGTCCCTCCCCCTCCCTGGGTTCCTTGGATACCTGTTGATGAATCCGTAACCATTCCGGACGTTGAACCATTTGACAGTGCCCAGGACTTGGATTGCTGCCAGGCAGAGATGCAGTGGGGACAGTGAGATGGGGGGAAGAGACGGAGTTGGGCTGAGTTTTGAGAGAAAACTAAGCTAAAAGCTAACCTGCCTCCCTGTTAAGTTTTGAGGCACCAAGTATGCTTACCCTGGTCCTACCAATTGGGAGTCACTCACACGGGGGATTCGGGCGTTCACGCCCATGTTCCTCACACCCTACCAAGTCCAGGTCCTTCACCTAGAACCGGCTACTCACCTGGTGCCCCCTCAACAGGCTCAACACTCAACAGCCCTTTCTGGCCCTCCTACACTTGAGGGTCCCCACCGCCCCTGCTTCCCCAAGCTCGGAGGTTCACCTAACAAGAACTGGAGTCAACTACACCAAGTCTCCCGCCAACCGGGGCGTGGCCAGGCCCTGAGGCTTTATTTTCCGACCCGAGGCCCGAGCTGGACCTGCCCGCCCCGCCCGGGAAGGTGCAGCGAGCCGTCCCTCCAGGGGACTCCGCTAAGAGTTCGTCGGGCCGCTGCAGGACCGGTTAGTCCTTGGGGCCCGGCCGACCTTCGGCTCGCCAAACCCGGCTACCCCGCCCCCAGCCCGCCGACCCCCCCAGAGCCGCCCTAGCGCGCGCCGCCCCCCTCACCCAGCACCGGCTTGTCCGCCTGACTCCGGGCCGGGGGCGCGGG